AGAAGTAATGAATTAAACCTTTAACGTTTCCTCCTCGGCAAAATTGGGCCAAATATTTCCAATACTCTTGAATGATATGATAAAAGACGTATGATAAGAAGAAGAAGAAGAAGAAGAAGAAAGAAAAAAAGAAAAAAAAAAACGTACACACGATATATTTAGATTACGCAAACGAATTAAAAACATCCCTTTTTTATGATTTTAGCCATAATTAAACACCATATTGTATCACCTGAACAACAAGAAAGAAAGTAATCGATCTGTTATATGAGTAACGACTGCCAAGCAACCAAAAGACATAAATAAGTCATAACTACCTGGATGGAAATTGTTAAATTAATAATTAATCAATTTCAGTAGGTTTAATCTTTTTTTAGGGATTATGAAGACCATGTAATTAACGGGACTGTAGGAACTGAAATTGTGTATTATTTTGCAATGTGTCTATCGGTATGTATATCTATCTGGATATAATTTGCCCTTTTTATCGTGCAGAATAAAAATTCATATCAATAAGATTTTTTTCTGTTTAAGATATCCCGGGAGATTTCATATATATATATATATATATATATATATATATATATATATATATATATATATATATATATATATATATATATATGAATATATATATATATAACTATATATATGTATACACACACACACACACACACACACACACATATATATATACATATATGTATATATATATATATATTTATATATATATATGTATATATGTATATTTGTATATATATATAGGTAGATAGATATAGATATAGATATATATCCGTGTGTGTGTGTGTGTATTAATTAAATCAATAATAAAAACATCAGGGTAAGACATTTAACGAACCTGCACCTCAAAAATAAGACAAATTGTAATAAACCACTCGTAGCAGTGAAAAAAAAAGATGTATTAAAAAAAACAAAGACAACAGTAAAGGTCAGAGGTAGGCGTAACGGGAGAGAGCAGAGAGGCTTAACGTAAACACCCTACTTACTCATCCTAGTATAGTAAAGCGTACGAGGACGAAGTGTGAATTAACATATGGAGAAAAGGGGAGAGATTGTGCTATAGGGGAAAAAGAAAATCTAGATTTTATTATTGCGTGAGGAAAGGTATCTGAGAAATTTACATTCCGGAAATCATTCATATCCAAGGACAAAAATGTCATATTATAGTGTGACGTGTCGACGGCGAATTAAAAGACGTTTGCTTTATCAATATAGAACATAATATTACTACTACACTATCACTACTATTATCATTACACTGTTATAACTGTCACCATAATCACTAGGCCATTACTACCACATACACAGAACACGGATCTTCGCTTCGCTTCCAGGCCCAAGCACCACAGCAGCTGGAATCCCACGAGCAAGAGGGCGCGGGCGATGGCTTCCCGCACGCGTGCTGTTGGAAGATGCCCGGGCCCCAGGCTCTTCCAGGAATGCCCTACTAGTTGCGATATTTTTAAGTGCGCGCGCGCGCGTGTGTGTATGTCTACACATGGACATATGTATCTATGTATCTATCTTTCTTTCTATTTATTTATGTATCTATTTCACACACTCACACACAACACAACACACCACCGCAAACAAACAAACACAGACATATATATATGTATATATACATATATATATATACATATATATATATATATATATATATATATATATATATATATATATATTTATATATGCATATATGTATATATATACATATATATATACGTATATATATATATATATATATATATATATATATATATATATATATATATATTTATATATGCATATATGTATATATACATATATATATATATATATATATATATAATATATATATATATATATATATATATATATATATATATATGCGTATATATATGTATATATATTTATACATTTATATATATGTTTATATATATATGTGTATATATATATATATATATATATATATATATATATATATATATATATATATATATATATATATATGAGCATTGTGGCTTCTTCTAACATGTGTATCCTTATATATATATATATATATATATATATATATATATATATATATATATATATATATATATATATATATGAGCATTGTGACTTCTTCCAACATGTGTATCCTTATATATATATACATATATAAATATATATATATATATATATATATATACATATATATATATATATATATATGTGTGTATGTATATATATATAAGGATACACATGTTAGAAGAAGCCACAATGCTCAAACTAGATTTATCAAAAAACGAGACCAATTTGGAGACGAGTACATTTCCGACCGCAGACGCTCTGACTTTCAACTTGACATTGGAGGAGTTGAGTGGTCTGGCCGCGACCGGGGTAGAGGGGGGGAGATGGGGGGAAGCTGGTAGAATGAGGAAAGAGAAGGGGGGGGGGGTAAGGAAAGAGGGTCTAGGAGAAGGCGGGAAGATGTGGGGAGAGACAGAGAGTGTGG